CAGTGTCCCTAGACCGCTGCTGCAACGTATATGACTTGAGCGGTGGCATCATGCTCCTCAGCATTGTGTTCCCAGTAGCACTGCACAGCGTGGTTGTCAATAGGATGGAGACTAGCATTTATGTTGGCTCCGCCGAAGGCAAGGCGTTTGTGTTTCACAATTGGCGAGCGCCACGGATGAAGGTGAGTGACTCCAATAAAAATGACATGGTTAATCATGGTTGTTTACAGGAATACCACCTGGAGGAGGACGAGACTCAGGCCTTTTGGCGGTGAGGATAAGCAAGTCTGCGTTCGGGATGTTGCGAGTCGGCAGCTCATGAAGAGTATTCCCCAGAACGGGGTGATCACCAATTTGAGAATCCGTCTTCTCAGTCCCGGCATTTTCCAGCCGCAACACAAGCAGCCACAATTATTCGCAGACAGTCTGAAGCGTATGATCAGCGTACCCCAAAGAACGTGGCAGCTCGTAAATCTGTGCGACGATGACGATGCTATTGACTTTGACGAGGAGACGTTGGAGTTAACTGAACAATCTCCCAAAGTTGCAGATGTGCCTTCAGCGGACGTTGGCGAAGTTGATTGTGATAATATTGAAGAGGGAAGACTATGAGGCCCATTCCAATGCCCCTGCATTACAGGAACTTATCGCCAAAACGAAAACGTCAAGGCTCCGCCGGAGAGAAATCGCCAGAAAGCTCGCAGGAGCTAGGCCTGTGCTCCACCCTTTTGTTTACTTAGATTAAAATTTAAAAACTGTATAGAAATAAAAAAGGGTGTCCAAAATTCGCGAAAATGAATGTTAACGGACAAAAGGAATCGTTCCCCGCCCCATTTAGTAGCTACATAAATATTTACATACATATATTTTTGATCAGTATCAATATCCGAGTCCATCTTTTTTTCCGTCTTATGTGAAGCCTAGTTCTCAAAGACTATAAGAGGTGGAGCAGCTGTATCTGACGCGTAAACTCCCAGGGGCTGATTAAGTCGGAGGAGCAGCGGTTTCGACCTCAAATTAAAGATAATTTAAAAAAAGTAGCCACAAAATATCCACATAACTTCTTATTCAACGGCGAGTAATAAGTACACAAAACAAACAAAAAAAACACAAACTGTCATCATCGGCATTCTCCTGATCACCAGATTTGTCCTTCTGCTCCGCGAGCTGTCGGCGGATCTCGTTATCAATGATTTGCATTGCCCCGAGTCGCTGGACATTGTGGGATCGTGGTTGTTCTTGGGCGACATATGCTAAATACAATTTAAGTAAAGAAATCGGTTATCTATTGTTTTTAAATATATTTATTTTTGTATTCGTCTTTATCGATCTCGTCAAAGATTTCAGGGAGCCCCTGCGACCAAATTCGAGTCACAGACATTGGCGACACAGGTGTGGTTGGGGAGCCTGGGAACAGCTTCCTGTTTACATTTTTTTTAAACGCTGCCGCGGTGCACTTATTTTTATAGCGAATATATATTTTTCCTCGCCGATCAGTCCTGTAATCTGATTCCTCTTCTCCGGGAAATAGGTTCAGAAGCTGACTCTCAAAATCACGACATTCCTTGAGGGTGAGCTTCTGCTCCCTTTGGATGAAATGGTCGGCGATGGTGTTAATCGCCGTCTTCCTCATCGCCGGTGTTAGTGGCTCTGGCTGCCACGCACGCAGCAGCAATGATCTGGCCCCGGCCGTCTTAAAAATTTTCAGCACGGTCATGGTCTCCTCCTCCTGCTCCTGCCGGATGGACCCACCGGTGAACGCGCTGTATCGAGGGGAGGGGGTCCCCTGTATAACACCAAAGATACTGCTGCACGCGTAGGATGGTGTCCTGGCCTCTATTGGTCGAAACACTGGGGGCGTTGTTTTCGGTACGCCAGCCCGTTTGGGAGTTTCGTCGCGAGGGGGAGCTGCAGCTGACGATTCCCTGGTTAATAGATCGGGGATGCCGGGGATGCCGGTGATGCCGGTTCTTCGCTTGCCGGTGTTGTTGGTTCTGGTTTCCACATGGCTGGGGGTGTGGGTGGGACGCTCCTGATAGACTCCACTTCAACTTTTTTCCCATTTAATTTAACTATGCCGGCGTCTTGTTGGGTGCTCGGCTTGAGTCCTTCAGAAAATTTAAGGGCAAAGTCCAGTGCCTTCTCATCCGTCTCGAATGGCAATGTGTACTTAACGATGCTGCCTTTGCGGGTCACTTCGATCTCCAATCTGTGAAAATTTTAAGTGTTATTTTAAAATTATTCCGCTAAAATTTTCAACAACTTACTTCTTCATGGTTCAATTTGAGTTTTAAAAATGGTGCCTTGGAGTGCCGTTGTTTCTGCCATTTCCCTTTCTTGTCCAATTCTTTCATGCCATGCCACAGACCGTCGCTCCGAAGACGAAGCAGCACAAAAAGGATTGCGCAATTTTCCTTTCGTCGCAAGTTCGATCTGGGAGCGGCACAATGGGCAAAACGGGCAACTTCGAAAGTACAGGGCGACTGTAGGTTTTTAACAGCTATATTGACCGTTTTTCCCACTGTGTCACTGTTTGCCGCGTAACGCGATTTGAACACATGCAACACTCTGCGAGTGGATTCTGAGCGTTGTGTTTTTACTCGTGATTTATATTTTGGTGCAAATTTAAAAAAAATGAATCTGGAAGAAGTATTCACATGCCACCCACTATTGGCTGGAAGAAGAGACGACGTGCTCAAGGCCATAAAATACGTGGAGCGGGAGTCCCACATAATGGAATTGGACTCCGGGGTTATCAATATGGTGTCGAACTTGATCTATTTTAAGGATCAGCCATTTCTATTGATATTCGACGAGTATCATTTTACCCACATTCCCAACGTAAGCTTTATTATATTATTTTCCCGTCTGTCCGTCTGTCTGGCTACAAGTCTCGTAGGAATGACCATATCTACCAGATTGCCGAATCTGAATCAGATCGGGTTATTATTTAATTTTTATTTATTTTTTAACTTAATAACACTAGTCAACACTAGAATTAGGCTGTGGCCCAAAATATAGTTTTTTAAAAAATTAAAAAAAATTACACCATAATATATATGTATGTATATATATACTTTCAGGTTCATTTCAAACGTTGGAAGGCGTTGGCAATTGCTGCGGTAAAGGTGGATGGTACAAGCCTAAAATATTTGTACATCCGCGTTATGTCCACCGACGCACACATTCTGGGCGCCGAAGAAATCAAGGCTGGACTTGCCGTTGTTGTTAACTCAATTTTCAACCTCGGCTTGGCCCACAATGTGTGCGCGGTTATATCGGATAGATGCAAGGCTAATTTGCTCCCGTTGCAGTATTTGGCCAATTTTTTCCCGCTCCTCTGGGACAAGGTCCACTTGCGGCAAAAAATGGCCAATAAATACCGCAACGTGGACACAACTCTAGAGAATATGTATGCAGCGACATATAAGCAGCAGACTTGGGAGCAACAGCTCGACGCAATGGACATCACCCCGCCGCCAGCAAGCTTAAAATCTTGCTACGACGAGCAAATTGGAAACCTAAGGAAGCTGTTGCGAACATACTTTAGTCTGTCGACAGCCCCCATAACTTTGGAAAAAGTAAATAGCTCAGATTTTGAGTTTAGGGGGGTTGTCCTCCGAGCAAATGTGGGTGATGTGCTCGAATTTATTTTCTTGACACACGCAGCTGATTTTCACGATGAAAGATTGGCAACAAAACTTTTCGCCCGCGTTGTTGGAATCCTGATATCAATTTTTAATCATAGTTTTACTTTTTATTTAATTACCAAAATACCCTTACCCCCGGTTGGGGGCGCTTCTGAACAGAAGCTTCGTAGACACGCATAAACGGATTCCAGATCTTCTCCTCGCCAATGGTGGAGGGCACTTTGGGATCCTGAGATGCACGTCGGCCCACTCAATGCGTTGCTGTATACTCTCGTTATCGGGCTCCACATGGCGGGCAAAGCTCATGTTCTGCAGTGTGTATTCGTGGCCACAAAAGACCTTCGTGGTGTCCGGCAGGGCCGATAGCTTAGTGCACAGAGCCTCGTACATCTCCTCGGGTGTGCCCTCGAAGAAGCGGCCACAGCCTCCCTGGAAGAGAGTGTCGCCAGTGAAGACAGCTCCCTCGCCGTTTCCATCGCCGGCGGTGACATGATAGCAAATGTGCCCGGTGGTGTGGCAAGGAGTGGACAGGCAACGTACGTTGAGACTGCCAATGGTAAAGCTGTCATCTTGGCGAACCTTTTTGTTCAACGCGCCGATACGATCGTCGCCGCCATACACCTCCAACTCCTTCTCCCACAACTTGACGAGCTTCTCATTGCCCCCGGCATGATCCCAGTGATGATGGGTGGTCAGCACCTTATTGAGCGTCACATTCTCCTCTTGGACGGATCCACCACAGCTGCCTCGCGCGTCTTATTGTCCACAATCAAGTACATGTAGTTGTCCTGCAGAGCCGGCAGGATTTTCACCTGCATGCCCTCCAGATTAACGTCCTCAGACCAACTTTACGCAGTTTCTGAACTGAAACGAGACACAGAATGGGTTATAGCTCATGGCGGGGATACAGCAATCAGCGGTGCAACAAGCAAACAAAACAAAAACCAAGCACAGTGACAACGGCAACAACAAGCTTTCGGGCCCAGAGAGAGAGATTAGATTAAACAAAATGGGAGGAACAGCCAGAAATCGTCTTCGCATTAATCCAGCACCAGATGGAATCGCAATTTTTTGGACGAACCTCGGAAATAGGCGGCTGTCATATATTGTTCTACATTGGTAGCCACGCTGCGCCAAGCCGATGACAACATTTAAGCGGTTTTAAGTTTAGATAAGATGCCAACTGTCGATTTGTTTACAAATTTGTCTTTGTATTTAATAGCAGCCAATCGACTGTTGCTCGATACTATCGTGATAGTCTCAAAACCGTCGATAGTAGAGGCTAGCAGTAAAATATCGATACTATCGATAGTGCCCTCTTTGGTTTGACACCTCTATCTTAAATAATTATTTGAAAATAATATTAATTAAGGACTCCGGCCGCTGCAGCGAATATTGTGAAAACAACAAGTAGCTGCCTAGGATCACCAAATGCGATACAGTTAAAGCTAGAAAGATGTGACAGACATTTCCCTGAAATGGTGGAGCAGGCAGGGAAACGCAGCATTACGCACACACGGCCGTAAATACATATGCAGCGCATACAATACATATAGACGACGGTATTTTTCGTCTACGTTTCAATTCGATTTTCGGAAATTTCACCTTCGCGTTGCTGTTTTTCGGCTATTCAAACTTGTTTTGTGTTGCCACTCTGCCACAGGCCCGCCCGCCCCGCCCCCTCTTCGACGGAGACGAGACCCATTTGCAGCCGCTCACTTTTTTAATATTTTGCTTACGTATTACATGTGGCAGTGTGCGTGTGCGTTCGCGTTCGTTATATTCAACCAAAATGAGTGCTAATCTGCATTAAACATGGAATGTAAAATGCAGAAACGGGCATAATTTCTCGCGCATTCAACACGAAACCAAGTTCTTTTTGCCGTCTGCCGACGAAGGAACGTCGAGAGGCACGTGCATGTGTTTGTGTGTCACAGCACGCTAAAAATAATACATATGGTTCGGTAAAATGTGTGAATAACAGTGGAGAGTAGTACATATCATATGTATATAGATACGTAGTGTAGTTCTCAAATGTGTGTCAATATGTATACCAAAGCAGCAGGTGCAAATGCAGTGTTATAAAGCGTTGCAATCTGGTATGACTTTGTGCCTGTGCATGTGTGTGTGTGTGTGTGCGTGCTTGCGAAACAAGCATATGGAAAATAATAATAAATACTTCTTCTGTCTTCTCTTCAAAGAAAACCCCACATCACATGATGCTACACGCTTAACTTCAATAAATCAAAAAGAGAGCTGTCCAAATAATAATCCAACGACAACGAGAAAATCCAATGTTAAATACCATCACAAAAACCCATAAACCGCCCTGAGGAGAGGACCTTTAAACTCTTCTAAGTTTATTATTTTTTGTTTATTATTATTTGTTTTGTTTTGTTTTGAGAACGTGCCTTCTTTTTTTTTGGCGTGCAACACTTTTTTCGCGTCTGTGTGGAAAAGTTTTGCATCGTTTCAAAAAAAAAAGATACACGTCGACACATACGGCCGCAAAGATTCCAAAGCCCACGGGTACTAAACTGCAGCGTCTCAAGGCCAAGGCGGCTGCCAGTCAGCATTACGGCGGTGGCAATTATCACAAATCCGGGAGCAGCAGCAGCAACCAGAACAGCAACACTAACAGTGGCGGTGGCGACATAAATTTTGGAACACAAGGTGTCTACAACTATCAACGCGGTGGCGCTGCCGAGGAGCGTAGCTTTGCTGCGACGTCGGCGCTGGCGGCGGGAGTGGTTGCAGCTGCCACAGCAGTCACAGCCACAGATGTTGGCGAGAAGTCATATCAATACAAGAGCAACAGCAGCAACCACAACAACAACAATTATCAAAAGTCAAACCACACCAGTGCCAATTACAACAATAATAATAATCAAGAAACCTCAACGAACCTGCCTTATCAGCCACATCAGCCTCCACAGCAGCAGCACAACCCCACGATGATGATGACCAAACAAAAGAACACGCTGGCCGAACGCCTCAACATCGGGGACGAGGTGCGCGAGCTGAAGCTGGGCTCCACCTTCAATCCGAAGAACACCTCCACCGCATTTCACACAATCAAATGTAAGATTTGATGCGCCCGCCGCACTAGAGTCGCGTCGATTCTCACAGACACACATTTCCCTCTACGCCATTACAGATGACTTCAAGCCAGCGAGTGTGGATCCGAGCCGTATGGCAACAGTGGATGTTGGCATAAATAATCAAGTTACTGTTATCGTGCCAAATTCAGGTGAGTGCATCAGTAATCAAGGGTGCATTAGGAGATAATAGAGCTATTGATAAAGCTAAAGATTGAGAACTGTTGTCCCCCAATTAAGTTCGTGGGACTAGTGAACTAACGAACACTAGTCGCTGCAGCTTGACACTAATAACCCTTATGTAAGCACTGGCATTACCACAAAAAGAAACGAGCTTGCTGGAAAATCCGGTAATTTATTATCATGATTCGAACACGAATACGAAGAACTAGTCGTATTCAAATTAAAGCGAGACCAACGAGCCACCGACAAGATATCTTCGAGTAGTTATTGATTGATTTAAAAAGCAAAAGCCATATAAAAGAGAGTTTTGAAATGTACACAGAGTATTACTCGCAGAGTATCACTCACTCAGCAGTAATGCCTGGTAATAAGTACTATTTTTAAGTGGACTTTGATCGCTTCTTCTGTTTAACCAAAATGTATTGGATAATTTAATGAATGATTTTAAATTGAATGTGTGTCCACACCACAAGTGGAAATCGTTGGGTTAAATGGAGTAAGTGTGGATTCCGTAGACTTTAAACAGGCTTGTGGTTAGGCTGGGCCGATCCGTCATCTCGGCTTGGATTCGCTTGGCTTTAGTGGCTGGCTGATGACATAATTTCACCGCATTATGCGATGGGAGCGAACGATACGAACCACTTACATTCATAGATACAAATTAATGGCTTGCCCTGTGTGTTATTTTGTTAAGACAAAAGACCGCAGCCCCAGCAGCGAAGGGTAGCCAGAGCTAGAGGAAAAAGCTGGAAACTAAATTACATCAAGCCAGGCAAAATGCAGCCAAGCGTTCAAGTTTTTCTCTCATTTTTTTACCAGTAATATTTTGCTATGCTCTTTGTGTCCAGACACTGTCTGTGGGTTGTCGACGGTCGATCCGTTGTTGTTGTTGTTGTTGTTGGTAGTACACTCATTGCGGCCGAAACTTGGTTTGGGTAACGCTTCGTTGATTGCGGGTCGACGAGTCGCCAAAGAGTTTCAGCGGCGACGACTATTCGATGTATTCGTACCGCTGGCATTTGGTCAAGTGTGGGTTGGCTCTCGAAACTTTACATTAAAGCGCTGCAGTAACTGTTCAATTTCTCTCTTTCCTCCCGCTCCCATGTGCATAGTTTTTTGCTGAACTAGTTTTTAGTTTGGCATCAACACAAGTCGAGAACATTCCCCAGAACTTTTTCTTTCCACTCGCATATGCACATATGTGTTTATGTATGTACGAGTATCCATATCCGAGCTTAAAGCTTGGTATCCAGTACCGCGGAATCAAAATTTTCTGTCAAACTTCATATAAAAAAAAATGCGATGAATTTTTCGTTTACGTTTTCCTGGCCTGTGTATCCAGCAACATGAAAGAAATTCACAGATTTATATAGACAACTGGCCTATCGAGAGCGTGTGTGGACTGAGAGGTTCCTGATACACAGCTCTGGTATATATTATTTTCAATTTATCCTGAAGAGAAAAGCGAGAGAAAGCGGCAAAAAGATTAAAAATAAATTCTAATAAATTTTGTCTAATCCTGTATCCGACCACGCAAGGCTTCAGCATCAGTAACTGCTGGGCTTTCAATTAATAGGCCTTCAAACGTGGCACCATATCCTTTTGGGCATACTTGAATCATATAATTGTGCATATAACCGCAGTTACATTTTGCGCTCGGTTTGGGCACTAATCATACAGTATAATATATTCATAGTATTCATAGAGCGACGGCCAACCCTTTTTGTTCCTTCTTAGCGAATAAGAAGTCGAGATGTAGACAAATGGCTTCAAATTTGATTCGCGAGTATGACACTAAAATCGGTATAGACTAATATCGTACCTAATTATTTCTCCTTATAATTCATAATCATATATGATATAAATATACATACATATGTATATAATTTTTGCACCGCAAATCAATTTTGTATTTGTGATGAATAATATTAATATATATTGTAAAATATATATGTATGTAAATATATGTTGCACGTCGCCCTATGAATGCCCTGTTGAACAATTCTTCGACCGTGAAGTCAATTATGCATAGATTATCTGTTTATTTACATATTTATATCCCTTTATCCATTGCTTTTTTTATATTAAAAGTATATCAGCATATAAAGGCTATACAAAATAATAGTTATTCTGATATTATGGGGCAAGCTTATGGGCAAAATGTGAACAGAAAAACCTATAACCAATACTCGCACAGTATGTAAGAATACGTGGCACACACCCATTTACGCAACCTGGAACCTCAAGACGGTTTTGTCTTCGGGAACCAAAAATTATTCTTTGCATATATTTTGAAGTGTTACAAGAACACACACGTCTGCATGCTGCCAGTCGGCTCGTGTCACGTCATGAGCCGAACGCGGTCAATCCCAGAGCCGAACGCGATCGGCCCCAAAGCCGAACACCTGGGAACGTACGCTGAAAATTCAGCTGCGACACTTTCGTTGTATGAGCTAGAACATCTTTATACTGTATGGTTAGTGGTTTCGGCCACAACTGGAACTGTCTACAAAACACAGAGTGACCAAGCACGTTTTAGGTACATGGTCACACTGTTTTAGTTCTATTCCACACACCTACGAAAGAACTAGCAAATTCCTGACAGGAATTTTCCGGAATGCTAAAGACAGGCATTAACGATGAAAAAATAAAATATACACAAATTAATAGAAACGCTTTTTAAGTTGGAATTTTATTTTTTTATATTTTAAATTTTGAATTTCCACTTTGACCTTCAGTTCAATACACTAAAATGGCTTGTTCTAGTTTCTGGACATTTTGATTTTGTAAGCGTTCTAATCTTCGAGACTTAAATGTATTAACATTTCTCTCACAATCTGTACCATAACGCATTCGGTACTGTATATCGATACGGAACTCCTTGCGATCTTTTGGATAACGTTCTTCCCTTCATTCTTGCGCCTTTTTTGGATATCGGCCTTCTTACCTTTTTGTAATTCTAAAGCTTTAATAATGATTTCATTCATATTTTGGTTAATTATTCTGTCGGATGAATCACTTGGTGAAGGAGTTGGTTCCATGGGCGGCAGTAGTGGGAGTTGTCCGCCCGGACGAACAACTCCTGGCCCTCCAGGAATAACACCTTTTCCTCCCCCATTACGCAATGGACAACTGCTACCAGGACGACAGTAGACACCTCCCTCACAGTAGGCTCCTGCTGGTGTTGGGCAACTGGCTCCGGGCGGCAGTAGTGGGAGTTGTCCGCCTGGACGAACAACTCCGGGTCCTCCAGGAGTGACTCCTTTTCCTCCTCCATCACGCAGTGGGCAACTGCTACCGGGACGACAGTAGACCCCTCCCTCACAGTAGGCTCCTGCTGGTGTTGGGCAACTGGCTCCGGGCGGCAGTAGTGGGAGTTGTCCGCCCGGACGAACAACTCCGGGCCCTCCAGGAATAACTCCTTTTCCTCCCCCATTACGCAATGGACAACTGCTACCGGGACGACAGTAGACCCCTCCCTCACAGTAGGCTCCTGCTGGTGTTGGGCAACTGGCTCCGGGCGGCAGTAGTGGGAGTTGTCCGCCTGGACGAACAACTCCGGGTCCTCCAGGAGTGACTCCTTTTCCTCCTCCATCACGCAGTGGGCAACTGCTACCGGGACGACAGTAGACCCCTCCCTCACAGTAGGCTCCTGCTGGTGTTGGGCAACTGGCTCCGGGCGGCAGTAGTGGGAGTTGTCCGCCCGGACGAACAACTCCGGGCCCTCCAGGAATAACTCCTTTTCCTCCCCCATCACGCAGTGGGCATCTGCTACCGGGACGACAGTAGACCCCTCCCTCACAGTAGGCTCCTGCTGGTGTTGGGCAACTGGCTCCGGGCGGCAGTAGTCGGAGCGGTCCGCCCGGAAGAACAACTGCGGGCCCTCCAGGAATGACTCCTCTTCCTCCTCCATCGCGCAGTGGGCAACTGCTACCGGGACGACAGTAGACACCTCCCTCACAATAGGCTCCTGCTGGTGTTGGGCAACTGGCTCCGGGCGGCAGTAGTGGGGGTTGTCCGTCCGGACGAACAACTCCGGGCCCTCCAGGAATGACTGTTGCAGGTCCTTCACAATTATCCCGTGGGCAACTGTTACCTGGAGGACAGTAGACACTTCCCACACAGTAGGCCCCTTGTGATGGGCAATAGGCACCCGGCTGCAGTGTTAAGGGATAGAGTGGTCCTCTCGGACGATCACAGAGCTTCATGAGGTCCACAATGACTCGTATCAGTGTCACCATTTGGGGGGTATTTTCGGCTTGTGAAATGATCTGAAGAGCTAAACACAGCTGAGACTTCGTTTGTGGAAGGACTTGCTCGTTTTTCATCATTATTTGTAAGAAATCCTTCAGCTTCTGCACTTCGGGCCCGGTAATGGCGATTGCATTGTGAAATAACGTAGCCACCAGGACTCCTAGGGGCATAGTTCTTAATCCAGACAGTTTAGTCACAAGAGATCGTTGGCCATATCATACCGTAAAGTATCTTCACGTAAAGCTTCATGCTCCCAATAGTTTTGTTAGACTAAATACAGTCGGAAAGGATTTTCGTCTTATATTATGTGTACGACAAAGATCCGATTCGACGTGGGTTGTTCTATAACGAATCGTATTACGTTGTAACTAACGAGCTTATCTACTGATAATCCAAAGTACTATTTCCGAAATGTCAAGGTCAACCGGGTTACATTTTAGTTTAGTTACACTTAGGCTAGCGTATTCCTTTTGGTATGTCCTTTGCTGAATGGGCATTGGGATCAGGCTCCTGGCTGTAGTTTTTGGCATAACCATATCAATCGATTTATTAAATTGTTTTCCTCCTTTCAAACTGTGGAGCCAATTTTGTCTTTATCCATCTCCCACATTCACAAACGCTTGCTGTACTATGCCATGTAATTCAAACAAGCCAATGCCACTGCATACTGAATGATGCTGATTTATTAACTTAATCAATTGTTGAAAATGGCTAATTTTCGGGCTCTATTTCGCTTAAATTGGGATTGATTGGCTTTATCAGGTTACCGTCCGCATAAATCTCCAGAAGTGAGCCAATGTTGTACAGAGCGGAACTGCTCTTCTTTAGCTGCGATCCGGTGTTATTTAAGAAATTCGAAAACAATTCTGTCATTTTCAAAATAATTGAAAATGTTTCTATGGGTAGCTGAAGGCAGAGTATAGCTACTAAGACGAGTGAGAAGGGATAATATAATATATCATACATAGATGTAAGACACTTACAGATAAACAGCACAGACAGCCGCATTTTAGTCGTCGCTGTGGTTGCAATGTGCCTCGGACGACTGACGTCTGACACATAACTTTAGAATGTTACACAGGGAACAGCATGACAATTTGTATTAGATAAGCGATGGCAAAAGTATTTACAGTACCCATGAACCCATGAACAGTAAATTAATCCGGATTGTGCCTGTAGCTGAATGGAAAAGATCTCACGAAATATATCCCTGTTTTTTCGATTCTTATAATACCCTAACTTAAGCCTTTCTGAGGAGGACATTTGTAGGCTCTGGTAGGAACCAAAGCATATAGTTGCCCTATTGACAGAAAGTAGCTCTCACAATACTTTAAGCATGTTGATCGGATCCGCAAATGGCTATCCTCACTTGGTTGATCCCTTTCTCCATGCCTACAAATCCTCTTGAGATTTTCTATACTTTTTGTTGTACTTGTTTATTAGGTTACCAAATTGTAACTGCCAAATTTGCCTACTCTGCACTATTTTTCCACTCGATTTTCTACTTGATTCACGACTAATCCGCTTGGTTACGGCTGAACTTGTATAAATACTCCCATGACATATTCAGGACTAGTGTTGTTGTGGATTGACTTTCCGTCACGCTTCCTTTTCTTTTTAATATTCCGTTGTAGAGTTTGGTCGTCATGAACGAACGAACAAAAAAGTTCGTCTTAATCGTTCTTTTTTGTTTGTTTTTTCTTGGTTCGTTTAGTTTGCTATTTTTGAGCTGGTATGGCACCACTTTTTCACATTTTGTTGTGGCGGAAAGTACCATACTAGACTCGTGGTTTTAAATCCGAAGAATGCTTTGAAAAAGTAGTTGCAGCTCTAACAGGTAAAATCGCTCAAACAAGAATGGTTGAAAATATTGCTGATGATCTGACATCCAAAATCGAAACCGACAAAACTTCGCTATCAAAAAGTTGCATTTGGGACGAGTATGATAAGCACTTCAACCAAGATAAAAAGCAAAGCAACAACACGGATGATATCCATGATAGGGGTAGATATTTATCTACCTAGCGGAGGAGTACCTGAATAGAAAGCAGGACCCTTTGATCTGGTGGCCAAAGCAAAAAGATATATCCACGATTATACGAATATGAATTAAAACAGTCTTTGCTTGGTTGCCACGTAGGTGCCTATTTCCTGCCGCACGGGAAATATTCTGCAAAAGGCGAACGCTTTTAATGCCGAATAGGTGGAAAGTCTTATGTTTTTACATAATAATATGTAAAATATTATATAAAGGTGTGTATTTCATAGCTTTTGAAATTATAATGGACAACAAGCACCGACATCATCTATTATGTACATTGATGACGTCGGTGCTTGTATAAATTGAAACTGTTAAAACGATATCAATTACCAAGTACAAATTAAAATACATTTTAACCGTCCACAAATTGTATTACATTTTTTACACATACGCTTACAAATAGAAATCAGAGCTCAAAATTGAACAAAAGAGAACGAACGAAAAATAACGAACAAAAAAGAACGAACAAAAAGAACGATGGACAAAAACGGACGAACGAAAATGAACGAACAAAAAAGAACGAACTGAATACAAATGAACGAACGAACTTGTTCAGTAAAACGGAATCCGTTGCGCATTTGCGCTTTTATTTAATATATCTGTCACCATTTTAACTTCAACATTTTTTCGCTATTCAGAGCATGTTCTTTTTATACCCGTACTCAAAAAGAGTTAAGGGGTATTTGTGGTAAAAGTAGATGTCTGTCTGTCTTGATGAGCGCCTAGATCTGATAGACTATAAGATCTAGAGCAACAAAAGTTGGTTTCCAGACGCATGTGATATCACACTGCTAAAAGTGTATTTCAAAATTTCGGCCCGCCCTCTTCCGCCTCCACAAAGGACTAAAATCTGTGACAGCGTGCAGGGTGCAGCGGCTTACCAGGGTCATGGTTCACAACTGATTCTTTGCTGGTTGTAAAAAAATAGGACAACTACATGCTACACTTATGCTTATGCACATAATTCATATATTGTACGAGTGCTTAGCCTAGAAATAATGTTTAAGCAAAATTGTTGATTTAATTGCAATTTTATTTGTCACAGTATGTTCAATTATGTACATTGGCATGCACAGTCTCATATCTTAAACACTTGATTAAGGAATTTTTTTTCCAGTTCCTCGACTTTCGTACGTATACATTCTGTTACATCGGCATCTACAGTTGCATTCTCCTTAGCAATATCCGTGCGGGCTGAAAGATGCTCGCTTCGGTAATTGGCTCGACGATGATGCTTCCCGTTACGATTTCTGTTCGTTTTTTGTGCATTTGGAGAGTTATCGCTCTTGTTATCGTTCTCGATAACAAAACGGTATTCTCTCTGCCATTTATATTTTCTCCTTAAAGTATGAAGTCTCCCTCTTCTCTTGTAGGGCCGAGAATCCGCATCATTGTTCATTATAATAATGGTAATGGGCGGCTGTTGGATCGTTGGGCTTTCAATAACGTTATTGATATTATTTATGTTATTGTTGATGTTTTTTCCATGACCAGCTTCTATTTTTCTATTCGTCAGCTCTAATTGGCACAGCTTGAGTAAAATATCCACCACCACGATCTCGTTCTTCGTCTCTGACGTGGTCTCGGCATTCGATTGAAATGCCTGCGCTCCTTCCTTAATAAATTTGTCGAGCAGGGAGTGCAGATTAAAGAAAGACAAGGCCATACATTGCAGCTGCAGCACATCAAGCAGAACTTTGGGGAAAGACAAGTTTTTTGTATTTTGAACCGCTTGTTTACAGTCCACTGAATATAAAAAAAGCTCACCAGCGAAAATTAGAAAATGCCGCATTTTAGATAACACTTTGACACCTCTGATCTTTCACTACTAATTGACTGATCGTTAGGACAGAACAAAACAGATTAAAAGTATCCAATCCTCGTACTGTTACTAGTCTTTGATTTCATGGTGAATTATTGTTGTCTGATTAAAAGGTGGTTGGGGGAAGTGAGACTCCCAAGCCGGTATGGTACCGGCATGTTATGGTATGTTTTCGGTATTATTGGTCTGTTTAAACTTAAAAGCAATTCGGATCTGTTTAAATGCTCATATGCTATACTATACACTCTAAGCAATAAAATTAAATGAAAATCAAACATAATACATACTATGTTCAGATTCCTAACGAATAATCAATCTTCAAGGGTCTGAAGTGTATTTAACTTGATTTCTGTAAAAGTGTACTGCGATTCCAAGATTATATTTTGACATTTTAGGCGGATATTTATGGTTTGTAGTCTATTGGTCTTATTCAATCTCAGCGTTCTTTTCCTCAGCTGAGGAGCGTATCAAATAACAAAAGAAAGAAGGCGAACTGGCATTGGAGTGCTCCCACGTGACTCTCCATTAGCAATGCATTTTTCCTCCTCCACCTCCTCCTCTCTCCCCCAATCCCATCATTCTTTCTATAAATTATTTATTTATGTCACTTTCTGTGTGTCGTTTTCGCAACCGGAAGCATTTCCTGGCACTTCGTGGAGTTAGCGGGTGTATCCATATAGAGAGGAGACTTCCTTATCCTCCCCCCCATACTCGTATAACATCCATGGCTAAGTGATTTAATTTCGAAGCCGTTGCCTTACATGAAAAGAGTGAACATTTCTAACCAGTAAAACATAATTATTTGTGAGGATTTCTCGTTTAATCTTTAATGACTTAAGGATTACCGATCTCCGCCGCATTCAAATAGCATCATGGGCCAATGATACGTTTATTAGCTAGCCACTGATGAGTTTTTCGAGACTACAATTTTTTTTGTTGGAGCACTTGTATATGCACCCAAAATTGCCGCACTGAGAGTTGAGTTTGTCGACCAAGTCGTCGGGGTTAATTCCGGACTCATGGACCCCACCTCTTAATGCCTGGGTGATGATAGCTTCGAGGTGGGCCTGTATGATTTTGTTTTTCTTTTTTTCCGATCCTTTTTTTTTTAAGGCGGAAAGCATTTCCATGGCCATGGTTAGCAGCTCAGACTTTCCGACAGTGGGAAATATTTTTTTTTCCACATAGACTCCACACAGTCCACTTGGTAGAACTTCTGTACATGTTGGTGGCAACTCGTTCGGGGGCTGATATGGTGGCTGATATTGTGGCTCATATTGTGGCTCATATTGTGGCTCATATTGTGTTTCATATTGTGGCTGACATGGTGGCTGATGTTGTGGCTCATATTGTGGCTGATATGGTGGCCGATTTTGTGGCTGATATGGTGGCTGATATGTCGGCGGACATGGTTGCAACGTCGGCGATGTTTGATGTTGGGGAACCACAACAATCGATGGCTGACTGGGCACGTATACTTTCTGTTCTGTGTCCGGATTAATACAGTTCCATTTGCCAACTAAAATCTCTCCAAATCCACATACTAGTTTTGCTATTTTTTGTACGAGTCCAACGGTGCGGCTGTGGCTGCTTATCGGACTAGCAGGAGATATGTCTGGTACGTTATTTTGGGCTCGATACACGGACAGGACATTTTCCATAGCCAATTCGAATTTCAATAACTTGCAATAATCCTCATTCATAGCCCATCCGACTTTGCAATAAAAATCGTTTCCGTAGATCGTTTTCGTGGCAATCAACGCTTGAAGGATATGGGTATTTATTAGCCATCCACTTGGTGTACATACTTAAATATGTATAATATCCAACTCACCCAGAAAGAGCACAGGTAGCATCCGCATCGTCTTGGAGAATGTGTCCATTTTTCCAGCAGAGTCACTTTTATTGTGTTGTCGATTAGTCAAGCACTTTGTACTCGTATATGTAATATCCATATATAAATGATTAAATTTCGAAACGGTTCACTTATATAAAAAGCCATGCCAATATAAAACCTTGAAAATGTTCATTAATCGAAGTCTACCGTTGATGGTAACTGTCCTGGCAGGGACTCATATTTTTTTTGGTCCATAATTTCGGACTGTATGTAGTCTAAATGTGTACAGTACAAATTAAAAAAAAAAAATGTCAGCATTTGCACATATCGAACAACGGAGATTGACCATTTACACAGGTTATGTTTATTATATGCTTTCCCTGCCCATGCCCGTGATTTCGTGTAGAAGATTTCTTGTTGCTCGAACGGTCTGAAGAAATTTTTACTTTTTAATTTTCCAGCGGTTGCTTCCTCTGCAGTTTCCGTTGTGTGCGAAAATTTCGCTAGCTTCCTGGATATCCCATTTATAGGTGGATTAGTCAAACGCTTTAACATAACACGTTTCCGCTTTTCAGATTCCGTTTTTCAATTTTTTAAAGAAAGCGTGCGAAATTCCAACTAAGTAAACTCAATATTTATAACGGAATATTCATATGTGCATACATAGTACATATGTAATATTTTGCAGCTGTGTTTCATTTTTATTTATTTTTTATTATTTATTTATTAATTGAATTGCTCTATTGCGGATAGAAAATGAGTTTCTTTCAACTTAGCTGTTCCCTGGGGCCATTGGCATCTCACATTTCGAGCGGGTGCGGGTTCTGGTTCGGTTTACCAAGCTTTGAAATGTTGCTCGTTATTTTATTTTACTTATTATTTTGGTATTGCCTTGGGCGATATACTTGAACTTTGAGTAGCTGACTGGCTGACTTATTGAAATCTTCTGATTTGGACGAGGACGGGTGAGAGCTTGCCGGAGACTTCAAAACAAACTCGTATTGTATTTCACCTTCATTCTCGGTAAAATATACAACAAAAACAAACAGAAAAAAAAACACGTGCTTGTACCAAAGCACGGTATTAATTGTCGTCATAAATTGCCATATATGTGTGTAAATTTCGGTGTGACTTGTGCTGAACTCGCGTTTAACCTGTTTATATACGAGTATTATGTACATACATAAAATATATTTTGTTTCTATTCCAGAAAGTTCCGGTGTGCCTCATACAGTTTATAAGGGTAATCAGAGAGAGTATGCGAAGGAATGCTTGATGATCTACGACAAGGAGACGGGTGCTATTACGATTGAGAAGCTAAATCATAACATACAAGTGAAGAAGACAAGGTGAGTGGATGAGCCCAGCCTCAACATGGTACATGGTTCCTAGCCAGCATCGCATTATACCGAATATTATGTGGACTTTGCAGAAGCGAAGTTACCAACAAGCCGCCAGTACAGCTGCCGGCACAGAATGTGCCCATGAACGTGGGCCATCAAGGTCAGGTCCTAGGCACAAACGGATCTGTGCCAGCGCCCGTGGCCCAATTGGCACAAGGACCTTTGCCCGGACCCGGACCCGGAAACGCATTGGAGAACAGCACCATGCGGGTCTCGTCTAAGACGAAGGTCTCCACGGGCAGTCGTCGGAATAATATAAGTACGTACCCATCGCGTTAGCAATTGGCAGTCCTCAGTTATCACTAATTTGCATTCATTGCCTTCCAGTTGACTTCAAGCCGCGCAATTCACCCATGCAGCAGAGCTCCCCTTCGCGTCCAGTGGTCACCCATCGGAGTCCCCAGTCCGCGCCAGCGTAAGTTCTCCTCCTTAGGCAGCTTGCCGAAGCCCTCTAATGTTCTGAATGTTCTTGCAGTTGGGATGCAAACAATGCCCAACAGACATTGCCCAGCATTCCCATGATAACAGATGACGATGACTTTGGATTGAGAGCCGCTCTGCACAATGGCGGTCAGGCGAATATCTCTGGCTCCTCGACAGGCTCGTCGTCAGGGCATCCCGACCACTATGGTTCCTCGACCTCGTCCTCGTCGCACATGGGAAAGCAGCGGCAGGCTCATGACAAGCGTCAGCAGATGCAACAGCGTTCGAGTCCACCCATGCAACAGCAGCCAAACTACGGGCGGGGCTACAATGGCGCCAATAACTACGCACTACAGCAGCATCCACAGCACCAGCCACAACGGCACTCTCCACACCAGCAGCAGCATCAGCGGCACTCTCCACAGCAGCAGCAGCAGCATCAGCGGCACTCCCCACAGCAGCAGCAACAGCGGCACTCTCCACAGCAACAGCTGCAGCAGCAGCAGCGTGCCACATCTTACGGCCATAGCAATAATATGCCCATGGACTTGGACTCATCCAGAGAACAAGATCTGGCCTCACAGTCTGTTGCACAAGCGGCAGCCGTTCTCGAACAGGTGGGTTTTGGCATCAATCAGTCTTGAAATGTATATCAATTTGTGGTTTCTTTGTTCGTAGCAAATTGGCGGTGCTCTAAGTGCATCCAGCTCCAGTTCCGATTCAGATTCTAGCGACAGTGATAGCGGCAGCGACTCCGATGACAGCACCGAGGATGATCGTCCTATGAAAGAGCAGCAAGAACAGCAACAACAACAGCAACAACAACATCAACAACAACATCAACAACAACATCAGCAACTACAGCAGCAGCAGCAGCATCAGCAGATGCAACAGCCAGCCCCACATCATCAACGCCATCAACAGCAACAGTCCCAACAGCACATGAATCAGCTACCAAATCTGGGCTTGGGTTCCATATCACCATCCTACAACAACCATCACCATCAGCAGCAGCAGCAGCAGCCGCAGCAACAGCAACAAATGTCCGGTGTGTATGCGTCCAATGGCGGCTTTCCAAATGACTTGCTGCAAAACGATCTGCAGTTGTCCTCCAATTCGTCCGACGATGACGATTAGCTGCATTTAAGTTTCTATACAATTTGCCCTCTTTGACTAACAACAAAACAAAACAAAACAATTATTGATATTCTGTCTATATGCGTGTAATTAAGTTGTAATTATTGGGGGAGAATTTAATTGCTAGTGAAATTTTTTATAAATAAATTCTTAGTTCATACACGAGCATACATACATACATACATACATATATTAATTAATTTTTAACATTATACTTAGAACATCCAAATGTGCGGAAAAACACTCAATACGAACACAATACAACACAACGCAAACACTACTTTGCCAATACATATTTCAATGTACATTAATTTTAAATGCGAAATCAAATACAAAGGTTATGTGAAATTGGTTGAGAGTCCTAAATAAGAGCTCATATATGTACATGTATATATATGTATGTACTCGTACGTACACCAGCAACAAGAAACGAAGGGAAACTACAAGAATTATTTAGTTTCTAATGCAAGTGCTGCAAATATTAATTTTAATTCTTAAGTTAACGATATGCATACAACAGAAAATGACCACAGCGGATTTTTGCCATTAATTACGCATTTTAATCTAAGCCTTAAATCATTCGGATACCAAAAGCGAAAATTGAATTTCATGCAGATTGGATTTGGAAATAGAAATGGAGTCCCTTATTTTAAATATCTTTCGTTCGGCTCATTTCTTTTTAGTCATATTTAATTATTTAATTTTCCTTTAATCATGCATTGTTATGGAAGCGACAATACCCTATATGTTCATGGATAGAATGGATGTTTATTTTCAATTGATTTGTTTGCGAGAGCCCCGCCCCGCCAAGCCCCTTCTTATCTTTAGTAGTTAACTATTTGTGCGGTATGAAGACATATGTGTTTTTAGCTCATGTTTTATTTGAATTTATTTGTAGTTCTTTAATTAATTTGTAATAGCTATTATTATGATTTTGTTATTTGCTTGCAATAGTTTAAAGCAATGAGAAAAGAAATAAATGTGAATCAAAAAGTACGCCCCTGTGTGAACCACTTTTTTTTGCTTCCTTCCCAGCCCCCTCCCATAATCTATCGAACCAATCAATGAATGGGACTATGAGCATTATTGTGGTGCACCACAATACTTTACTTACTCAAAATACAACTCCTTCCAATTGGGTGAGCGTGCGTGCCGTGGCCCAAAGTCCAGACACACACTTACTAATATTAACACTATTTGATTTGCCAACACAATAATGAATTGTATGTATAAAGTACCATCCATCAGGAAAAACGACCAATAGAAGAGGAAACGCCAGAGAGCGGGAGATTGAGAGATAGCGATATGAGATGATAGGAATTATTTTTTGTACATGCTATATAGTATATGATATGATTGTAATCATGCCTTGAATAGTAGTAGAACTCCCTCTCTCGCTGGCAGAATGCAGAAGCAAATCACCGAATAACTACAAACACAACTAAATAATGGAAAAATGATTCAGATAATCATAAGCACAATATACATATGCAAAGAAACTAGAACTAATTATAGAATCCACAAATGCCTACGATCACAATGAAACAATGAGAGTATCTTAGTCTAATTGGTAAGCAAATATATACATATATATATATATATATATATACTATACATATATTATATACATACATACATACATACACATGCATGTACACGACTTTATATACAACAAACATACCTAAATACTCTCAGTTGAATTAGTTTTAATATCGACAATTAAACAGTCAACAAGCAAAATAAATTATGCACGATTTGGTCGTGTCGTTTCTACTTATTAGAGGGAGGGATTTAGTGACATTTGCGGATCCAAGATATATATGTACATACTCGTTGCTGACACTTGTTGCAGTCCAGCTGGGACGCCCTTTTGGTAATTTTCTGTTAAAATTCTCAAGTTCCGTTAACTGGGCAAGCAGTCGATGGTGCTTTCCAGGGCTGGAAACAGCAATAATCGCATTCTCCAGCAGCATTCTGCACAATGGAAGGATATTCAGAGGAGACTCTATTAGACGAATCTGGCCTGCATGCCTAATGTGTACATTATATGACGGAAATATTCGTATTTTCAAAATAAAACGCCGCCAAAGGGTTCCGCATATCGCACAAAAATACCGATATTTTGATAGTATCAACCGTGTGCATCGAATGTCACGAATGAAAACACGCATACGCACGTTCCACTCAAAATTAATTTTACACAACAGGTGTGATTTAAATTGAAATACTTTGAAATGGGCGATGTCACTGGCATAAGCAATGCCGAGGCCGAAGCCTTGTGCAAAAAGCCGGAGGAGGCAACACAGGTAAGCCGTGACATATTGAGCAAAGAGCCGAGCCGGTGCAGTAAAAGCAATTAACACGCGTCATCGCGATATTCTATAGGATTTCCTGTTCCAACAAACCATGTACCGGATTAAGGATCCCCGCAAGTCGCTGCCATTCTACACGGGCGTCCTTGGCATGACATTGCTGGTGAAATTGGACTTTCCCGAGTCCATGTTCTCCCTGTATTTCATGGGGTAGGTTAAGTGGAGAGGGCAGACCAGACCAGACCAGACCACACGTCACAGCACAAATGACAATTACTTTTCTTATCACTCAATTGCAGCTATGAGAATGCCGACGATATACCCAAGGACCCGAAGGAGCGCAGGAGCTGGGCGTTGAGCCGCAAAGCAACCATTGAGTTGACCCAGTGAGTGTTTCGTTTGAGCTACATGGGGTGGAAGAGGGAGTGTAGTGTACATTGCCTTCTCTAATTAATAGCAACTGGGGCACTGAAAACGACCTGGATCAGGGCTATCATAACGGCAACAATGACCCCCGTGGCTTTGGACACATTGGAGTGATGGTTCCCGATGTCTATGCTGCCTGCAAGCGGTAAACAATCATCCCATACAAGCTTTAAACACTCTTAATTTCTGTATGTAGATTCCAGGAACAGGGAGTCGAGTTCGTGAAGAAGCCAGACGATGGCCGCATGAAGGGATTGGCCTTCATCAAAGATCCCGACGGCTACTGGATTGAGATTTTCAATGCCTACACCGTTCCGAAATAGAATGGAAACTTTACTTTCATGAAATGTACATGTGCTGCCGTTCCTTAACCCAACCCTTTTTAAAGGAGAATTGTTACAAATAAATTAGGGAGTGTCCAATGTCCAGCTGTCTATTGTCCATATTGTATTTCATTCAGAAACTGCTGTTCGCTCACCTGCCACATAGAGCTGTCAGCACAGGCATTTTGCTAGAGATAATTGGCTCCTGTGTCCTTGCGTATTGGTATTTTCACACGCTAATTATTATTTACAGAGCCGGAGAACCTTTTGATAAGCAAATGTGTTACCTTTTCGCCACAGTCTGCAGTCTGGTGGTGGTGGTGGCAGGAGGTTGGGTTGGCTGTGGACATTCACTAATAATAGTCAAATATTAGAGCGCAGTATTTGCGTATCATTTTTCAATTTAAGACCCATGGTTTCTGGCCATTTTCGAACAGTTCTCGCCGAGAAGTTGTGCGGTGACAGTCTCTCCTTTGATACAGGATGGAAATATCGGAGCCTAGCATTGGCATCTTCTACATTAGCAAGCTGCTTACCCTGGCGCCATATGCGACGCGCAAGAACTCCAAGGGTCAATATGAGATACGTCGCAGTTGGATATTGACGTTCTATTCGGCCTCCCTGACCGTTGGAATGGGTGAGCAGCAGTGGAGCATAAAAGGAGAAGCTAATCTGATCTTATCTGATTTGTTTAGTATTTCTGACCTATCGGGGACTATTGTTTGATGCCAATGCGAAAATACCGGTGCGGTAAGTACCTGGCACTGTCCTTGGCTCATTTTTAACTTTATTCATTTCTACGCTGATCTGTCTGTGTGCGTCCCACCTGTGTGTAACTCTTGCTTTACTTCATCCTTCTCTATTTAATAATCACCTTTGGCCACCTCGATTCGACTCCCACCTGATCTTGACTAACTACTAAATACTCTAACCCACTGCAAACTGCAACCGAAACAACCCACAAAAACAAATCAAAAGTGCATCTTTTAGAATGAAGTCGGCAACGTCAAAGGTGGTAACGGCCCTGGATGTGTCTGTTGTTGTGCTGGCCGTTGTATCGGGCGTTTACTGTGGTCTCCTCAGTCTGCGCGAAACCATCGAACTAAATTCTCGTTTACATAGGGTGAGATCTCATCTCGATCACCTTGATTCCACCCCCCTTTTCTATAGACACGCACTCTCCTCCCTCCCAATACCCGCTTTTGCAGATTGACAACACTTTGAATGCCTGCAATCACTCCAGGAGGGACCGATGGCGAGCCTTGGGTATGGCCAGTGTTTCTCTGTTGACTATATCCGCGCTCCTCGGTCTGGATGTGGGCACATGGATGCGCAAAGCCGAGGAGATGAATATCGCCGATTCCGATACGGGTAGGTAACGCCTTGATTACCTCGATTGATCTGTGCTCACTTTACCCTCTCTTCCCTTCCTGTGTGGCGTCCAGAGCTCAATGTGCACTGGTATATACCGTTCTATACCCTCTACTTTATTCTCACCGGCCTGCACATCAACTTTGCCAACACTGCCTTCGGGCTGGGAAGACGCTTCCGACGCCTAAACCAGATGCTCAGCAGCAGCTTCCTGGGCGGTAAGTGGATTCCGTATTCAATCATACGATCCCTGTATTCGATCTTCATCCTACCCAGAGCCGAAGGATGCCAGTAACGCCCTGAAGCCGCGCAAGATGAGCACGGTCAAGACAGTAAGCGCGAATGCAATGATGACACCCACCGCCCTGCACTCGAGTCTGACCAAACTGAGTAGCGAAATGCTGCCAAATGAATCCGCAGGTAACTAAAGGAGTCCGTCACTCATGAGGCCTTGCTCTAACTGCTCTCTTTTGCAGCCAAGAACAAGGGTCTGCTCATCCAGACCATGGCCGACAACCACGAATCGCTCAGCAAGTGTGTGCTGCTCTTGTCCAAGTCTGTAGTCTCATTCGTTATTCCATCCGCAATGTGCTCTTTCATTTCTTATTATTCGCAGCTCCTTTGGCGTAGCCGTACTCTTTATTCTTGTGTCCTGTCTGCTGCATTTGGTGGCCACCGCCTACTTTCTGTTTCTCGAGCTGCTCAGCAAGCGGGACAACGCATATCTGTGGGTGCAAGCGCTTTGGATATTATTTCATTCCTTTCGCCTGCTAATGGTGGTCGAACCTTGCCATCTGGCCGCCCGCGAGTCCCGCAAAACCATTCAGATTGTCTGCGAAATCGAGAGAAAGGTGCACGAGCCCATTCTGGCCGAGGCGGTGAAGAAGTTCTGGCAGCAGCTGCTGGTAGTCGACTCAGATTTCTCAGCGTCTGGTCTGTGCCGCGTCAATCGCACTATTCTGACATCGGTAAGAACGAGAAGCAAGTGTTTGCTTTCAGCGCTCTGTATCCTGTTGATCTCTTGCAGTTCGCTTCGGCTATAGCCACCTATCTGGTCATACTCATACAGTTCCAGAAGACAAACGGATGAGAGCACCGGGCATAGGTAGATATAAAAAGTTGCTTGTTTTATTAACACTATTCACTAAACGGAGTTGGTGGATATCTGCTGCAACTGGTTAATGCGAAAGTGTGCTTAAGTTTAAATGTATCAAACAATAAAAAGCAAACGGATTACTTCATTCCGCAGCAGTTTTCAAACAATAACTTCACGACCTGTCACACCACACAAACACCATGGCCCATATCTCCTCTCCTCCATAGATTGCTTACTTCTAAAGGCAGCGGGGGCAGCAGTGGGTAGCCTTAAAATCCCTTCTGGTACTGCTTGGTTTCCATCCGCTGCTGCAGCAACTCCAGCTGACGCTTCGCCTCGCATTGGGGGAAGTTGTTCAGGTCGTAGTATTGCGGGGCCAGGCTGATCAGCCATTCAGCTATATGGAAATAAACAACGGGAGGTGAACAGGGGCATGGTTCAAACTATATATATATGTACTCACGCTTCACATCTGTGACCGTGCGTATGTAGTTCTTGGTGGTTAGCACAAATTCGTTGTAGATGACCCAATCGGGCTTGTGGTCCAGACATGTCGAGGGATGCAGCTGCACATTTTGGTTATCCTTGATGGTCAGATAGTGTCCAGTGCGCTCCAGGTGGGCCACCTGCATGAAGAAGCCCTGCACCAGGGCCTTGCGTATGTTCACATAGTAGTCCTTTGAGGTGAACTCCGTGCTGGTGCGCCGCAAGTTGAAGCGATCCATAATCCTGGCCAGCTGCTGGCGCACATTGTCCGCGCTCTTCAGCGACCGGAAGTTAATGAAGTTCTCATAGCACCAGTTGGGATCCTCACTGCCTGCAATTACCATACATTACCATGGTACAGATTGCCATCAGATTCATGGACAGAGGAGGGTATTTAATGGGCTGTACTCACTCTGTTTGAAGGCATGGTAGACATTCAGCAACGTCAAATGATCCCCATCGATGTGTGCGAACCGCATCTTGGCCTCGTCGGCCGCCTTCTTGGCCTCATTGGGACGCACGAAGCATTGTGGCACTTTGGTTGTTTGGCACGTTCAAATTGGTTTTTGTTTTTGGTCGATTAAGCACATGTTTAGAACATTGTTTCGTATTTTGGGTTTTATATTAACAAATAGACTCGATTTTGCTTACTTTTTGTCAGCTACGCAATCTAGAGGCTTGATTCAAAGATTGATTGCATTTGTGAGTTGCAAGTGCGTTTTACTTTCGAGGGAGAACTAACAAATCAGACAAGGCTGCTTGGACAAGGCCCGCTGTCATCATTCCATTCGAATGATGGCCACGAGGGCAGAGGCATGGCAACGCACGTGCAACTTTGCTTTTCGTGTTGAATGCAAAGAACAAATAAATTGAAGAAACTTTTTTCTTTGCATTTTAGCTTAACCAAATACTTAGAACCGTCCACGTAGCGTCTGGGTCGTCCGTTTAAGATTCGCAAAAAAGAAACCCACTTTAGCCTGATGTATCTTTCAATTTCAATAGAGCAAAGGATCAGCCCACCCCATGAAGCTAATCTAATCTTTCCATGGAGGGAGTAATGCCTCATGGATAGGGCAATGCCTCAACTTAAGCTCGGAATTGTTTGATTTGGTTGCTAGTTTTTCTCACCCGACAGCATGGCCGTTATGGAAAGTATCTCGTTGGAGCAGTTGTGCTGGCAGCTGGCTATCAGCATCTTGGCTAGCTGCGGATCCAGGGGGAACTCGGACATGACTGCCCCTAAGTCTGTCAGATTTCCATCATCGTCCAGGGCGGCCAGATAGTTGAGCAGCTCCAGGGCACGCATAAGGGTCTCCGGTGCAGGAGGATCCATGAAGTCAAAGTGCACCAAGTCGTCGATGCCCAGCTTTTTAAGCTGCAGAACCACAGTGCCTGATGGTAGTCCAGAGGAAAATTATAAAGCAAAAGTACCCAAAAGTCAGGGATTTCCCCCATTACCCAAATTGGATCTGAGAATCTCGGGATAGGTGTTGTCCTGCATCTCATTCTTGAAGGCCTTCTCCGTGTACAAGCGAAAGCATTTGCCCGGCCGAGTACGACCGGCTCGACCAGCCCGCTGCTGGGCCGAGGCCTTGGAAATGGGCGACACCAGCAAGCTCTCAACACGGATGCGGGGATTGTAGACCTTCTGTTTGGCAAAGCCCGGGTCAATCACAAACACCACACCATCGATGGTCAGCGAGGTTTCCGCAATGTTGGTGGACACCACAACCTTGCGGCCAATGGCTCCGTTGGCATTCGGCGGGGGAGCCGCCTCAAAGATGCGCTGCTGCAGATTTGGCGGCAGCGTGGAGTACAGGGGAATGCACTTCAGCTCGCCAATATCTGAGCCCAGATTGTCGATTTCCCGTTTGATGCGCTTGCACGCCTCTTCGATCTCCTCCTGGCCCGTGAGGAACATGAGAATGTCACCTGGGGGGGGATAAAGGAGAGTCAGTACCAAAGGACTTGCATTCCATTTCCATTTGTGGCAGTTTCCACTTACCCTCAATCTCCTCGCACATGTGTATCTGCATGACTGTGCGAATGGCTGCCTCAAGGTAGTCTCTCTCCGGCTCCGGCGTGTAGAATATCTCCACGGGATGCGTGCGACCGGGTACGTTCATTAGGGGAGCGTTGTCGAAGTACTGCTGGAATTTTCCGGCATCGAGGGTGGCCGACATGACAATCAGCTTAAGATCGTTGCGCTGCCGGATCACTTCCTTGAGCACGCCCATCAGGATGTCCGTAGCAAGGGTGCGCTCGTGAGCCTCGTCGAGCAGGATCACCTGGTACTGTTCCAGCATGGGGTCGGACATAGCCTCGCGGAGCAGCATACCGTCGGTCATGTACTTCAGCAGGGTCTTGGCCGAAGAGCAGTCCTCGAAACGAATGGAGTAGCCAACCTCCTCGCCCAGATTCACATCCATTTCCTCGGATACGCGCTGCGCCACAGACATGGCGGCCACACGTCGGGGCTGGGTGCAGGAAACACCCTTTCGTCCCTTGGACACAGCAAAGTCCACACACCATTGTGGGATTTGGGTAGTCTTGCCCGAGCCCGTCTCGCCCACCAGCACGATGCACTGGTGCTGGCTCAGCAGTCGCATAAAGTCCGCCTGGTACTCGAATACCGGCAACGCGATACGCTTCTTGTACAGATTCTGAAAGCGCTGCGAGTACGTCTTCCCGGTCAGAGTATTCGTCGTGGGTGGCTGCTTGTTGGGCACAAATCCGCCCAGGATCTGTGCAACAGTGCCGGCGGCCGCTGCCACCGTCGCTGCCGATGCCGAAGTGGAGGACGCCTCCGCAACCCTGCTGATTAACCCAGATTTACATACTTAAGCAAGCCAAACAATCATTAATTGATTTGTGTACTCACTTCTTGGACTTGCTGACATAGGTCTCACCGACTTCAATGCGGCGCTTGGACATTTTGCGGGTATCTATTTAATTTTTAATGCGACAAAAATTTTTTAGCACCACGCGCTGATTTTGAACAGTGTGACCGCGGATTTGTAGATAAACTATTACCGTTTGACCCTCAGAAATATACCGAAATAATACCTTCTTACTTCAAAATGTACCGTAAATGTAACGAGGAAAAAAAAGGAAATTATCCCACTTAATAGTAATAATAAATAATACTTACTGTTTCTGAATTCATCTTGGCCATTTCCATGGTTTTAGCAAGTAAAGTATATCCCAGCCTGCCGTCCCAAGATGCTTCTTAAGTCGATCAATTATGATTCTTGATTGTGTGTTCATTCAAACAAGTAGGCATAAGTTTTAGTTTCAAATCTATCCGTTGAGGTTGAATGTACCGTATAGTTCACAGCACAGACTAAATATACGGAAAAAATTGTTTATTTTGTAGAAAAAAAACTTGATGGAGTAAATTTGATTGACTTCAGTCCTAACTTTATATTTGTAATCACCTACAAACCGTTTTTGCGGCTTAGTAAAATGAATCCGGCAGAAAAAAATTATGTGGATATTCCACTTGAGGAGCTGTCCTCCACTTCTCCAAAAAAGATAGCAGTTGTCGTGCCGACCAAGGAGATGCAGGACAAGCAATTGAATGAACAAGATAAAGATCGCCAGGCCAAACAGAACAAGGTAGATAATGATCAAGACGAAGGTCTCCAGCTCACGGATGGTCAAGACAAGACAGATATTCTTCAGGATCTAAGCGAGAGTTCCACGGACACAAAACCGGTGGATACTCCGGCCAAGGAGATGCAGAAGGAGCATAGCAAGGGAGAAGGTAGTGTTCCAGCTGAAGATCGTAAAACTTTAAATTTTGAATTCAATGACTCAATACCTCTTGGCTTGAATGCTCAACCACCAGAAGAGGCATCCCCACAAATTCCAAATCAGATAAAAATTGTTTTTTCGTTAGAAATGATGAAGCAGATCCAATTAGAGTTTAAGAAAATGCATTCCAAGCTGAAGAAACTCAGAAAAGTGGACCAAGATGATAATTCCCAGTCGGCAAAGAGTGGCTGTTGCTGCAATTGCCACCGTTTGGATAAAGATGTTGGTGATCCTTCTTGGAAACCGGTCAATGGCAAGCCTCAAACTAAAGAAGATGTCCAGAACATCAAGGATCGCCAGTACAAGGGGGCCGCGTTTGACTTTTGGAAGTCTTGCAAGCCAAAGAAAAAAGTCATCTCCACTCTGATCAAATCGCGCTTGGCACCCAAGCTCAAATTGTCGGATGTTCGTAAGCTAATAGCAGGTAATGCCAAACACTGCAAAGGTGAGAGATTGCTTATACTCTGGACGGTGCCGATTTCTAAATTAATTTCATTTATGCTATGTTCTTTGTTAAGTAAATGTTATTGAAAATAATTTGTCCGCGGTTTAACAACTTGAGTTCACCTGTCACAATAGAGGGGTTAGTGGGTTAATTTCGTGCACTCACTCATGATATATGGTGCACGGTATATTACGGTATATTTTTCAGGGTCAGAGGGTATATTTCATCAATAAATCCGGGGTCACACTAAAAAGAAAATATCAGCTATTGTTGCTATTTTTTGCATTTTTGGCGCGAATTTGTTTATAACAAATGAACGGAGCAAGAAAGTCAAAGTGTCTGAAAACTGTACGCCTGGGCGACCTGCTCTATGATGAACAGAAGAGGCTGCTGATGCTGTGCCGCAGCTGCGAGCATTATTTTCTCACATTTCAAATGTTCCAAAAACATTTGGCCGATTGCTCTGGCGTTAAACATGTTGTGAATTGCACTGATCCACTCAGCTACGTCGAGGACAAGCGTGAGACGAGATTAACGAATGGTAGACAGGAGGTAACTAGGCAAGGCTTTCCTGGGACATCCCACACTAACCAGAGACTCTACTTGCAGCTCCATATTTACAACATTGAAGATGTGAACAGCAGTGCCATTGACTGGGAGGCAGAATTGGAGGATCCACGCTGGTACGACGACGAGACGCGCTTATCCGCGCACTCTAAACCAAAGACATCGCATTCCAAAGAGAATGTGGTGGGGAAAAAGCAATTGGTCATTGAGAAGAACAAGAACCCCCAGATAGCCACAACGAAGACAGTACGGCGACGGCAAAGCCCCAGTCAAACACATCCAGCCAAAAGAATTAACACAGAGGCTCTCAGTGTTCCGTGCCATACACATCCAGCCAAAAGGATGAACACAGAGGCTCTCAGTGTACCCCGTGTGATGGAGAACTTAAAGCGTTTGGTGGCCACTGACACCGAAGTCCAGCCCTCTCCAGCAGCTGCCAACGGTGGTGAAGGAACCACCAAAGAAGCAACCACCAACACCACCCAACAGATACTCAGTAAACTGCGAGCATGTGGGGTCGATGTGAAACGTTCCAAAACTCAAGTGATTCCCACTCCAACATTAGACCCCAATCTGGAGAAAAAACAAAAAACCCTCGAAATTATGCGTAAATTGCAATCAAAAGGAATCCAGTGCACCAAAATAAAAGGTGAATGCAATGCACCAAGTACAACAGAGCAATTGTCTACTCAAAGACTAAGAGGCGAATATCCTGAGCCAACAGAAAAATCCAATCCAAAACAAATTGCAAAGGAATACAATGCACAAACAATAACAGATGCGCCGTGTTCGATCAGAGCAGAATCGACTATACCAAAAATTAAAAAGGGTTACAATGCACCAAAAATAAAAAAGATATCGTATGCGCCATAGCACAAAACACAAACTAGTGAGTGCTCTTAGTTTAATGCTAGTTGTGTCTAAGGTATTGTATTATAAGAAGCTGCTGCCTTTGTAGGCTAAACATTGTATATAACATTGTACATTACATCCATTTCGTGGTATACATATAATGGGATATTTAATACACTTTATTGGGCACTGGGGTACATTATTAACACGGGATTGTAGTTTATTAAAATTAACACAAGAAGATGAAGCAAGGCTGAGTTTTGCCAGCCGCTGGGTAGCCTGCTGGCCGGCGCTCTCCTGGGCGTGGCTGGCGGCCTCTTGAAAACTTTTCTCAGCTGCTCAGCGCTTCTGATCAACGTACTGGTTGCAGCAAATGCCCTGTGCATCGGAGCCCAATGCGACGATCTGGACTTTGTGGAGATGGTTAGCTGCAATGCGAATGATGCGACAACTGAGGGTGATGATACTTCCTCAACAGTAAGACGACCCACCCAATACTCTACCAGAGATTTCAGTTTAGAGCAATACAACTCTTTTTTTGATTTTTCGAGGATGAACCTTCTACCGGTCTAACGGCAGCACCGACAGATTCTACAACAGGCGGATAAATGCAATTCTAAATAATCTTTCACGTGAATCTTGGTTCGAATTCCAGCTCATTTTCCAGCTCTGGGCAACTATTTCATTGTTCTGCGATTTCTCGAGGATTATAAAAGCATCATCTTCGGTGATTTGGAACTTTAGCTCTTTTCCACACCACCCTAGTGGTAGAGCTTCTGGCGCATTTGTTTTAAGTGGTATCGCCGATAGGTATAATCCACATAAAAACATCAGACCCAATATGTTGGGTTCTGATTTCAATAATCAGCCCCAAGAATGGGATCATTATCAGCCCCAATATGTTGGGTTCTTAAAGTACTCTGGCAGTAGGATGTGGGCACCCACGAGTCGCGTCATAAAGTAAGATGCTTCGCCCACATTATTTAGTTTCTCACGCCATATTCCAGATAATTTCCGTATCACTGGAGCAATTCCGAATCTCAGCTTTTGCCCGTTGATTTCCAGCCTTTTGCTGTTGCAATGATCCAAATTGAGCTCCCCGGTCGCATATTTATTAAAGAAGCGCGTGAACAGCTTCTACAGTCGATCCGCCTCTCACACAAAGTTCAGAAAGAATTTATGCCATTCGCCTGTTGCCAGTTTTAGTCTCTGTCCTTGTCTTTGGACAACAATGCATGCCATAAAAGTCCATAAAATAAAAGCTAAAAGCAACTAAACTATAATATTTGGTTCTATAGAAACACTCACTACATACAAACATACTCGTACTCGTACACTGCAAATGCATTGCCTGGGCAGCCGCCTCCTTCTTATAGTTGTTCCACTACTCCCATTTCGGGCACACTCACAATCTGCAGGATGGTGATGTACTTCTTCCACCACAGATACTTCTGCACCTTGGGACCCATCGCCGACAGCAAGTAGTAGGCGTACATGATGGATGAAGGAGTCGATGAAGCCCAGCAGAGTGCCATGGCCGCCGGCAAAGTACTTCACTTCAATGAAGGCGCACAGCTCCGGCCATCTAAAATGACAAATCGGTTGTAGATTGCAGAAAAGTTTCTTTCTCTCTTTTAGAAATAATTTACCCTCATGGAGATGGGGTCTGTGGAATAGGGCACCGGCTGGCATTTGTAGCTGTAGTCTCCGCCCCAGCCGCCCTTATAGCCCTCGTAGAACAGCAGTACACTCAACAGAACCTGCACGGCGTTGTAGATCACGGCGGTATTTTGGTGGCCAGGCCAGCAGCCGCAGATGAGAAAAACCAATAATCTCCCAAATCGATTGAAAGACGGCATATTCTAAAGCTTTGTGGGTCATGTGCTTAATGACGTCCCCAATGTGCTCAAACTTGTCGCTATTGATATTCAGGGCGATTTTTACATTTTCCAACTGTTTTTTTTAAGAATCTTCTTTAATGCTTTCTCCAATATCAGCGACAGTGAGCTTAGTGTATGTGCTGTCGTAAGCTTTCTCAAAAAATGCGTCGTCTATCACACTTCTTGCGTTAACTTTTCGGCGATGGCGATTGTCCCAAAAATTCGGGATTTTATAACCGCCACAAATATGTGAAAGTGGCGATATGTTTGAATTGTAATGGTCTAAAACGACCCCCATAACGTTCGGCAAAAGATTTTTAAATTTAATGCGCTCCATGACAAACCTTCTTTAATCTCCAGGCGTCCCAATTTCTTATATTTATCAGTTTCGTCCAGTTCCACCACCTTAAGGTATTGGTAAGCTAGGTTACTACCATCAATGTCCACTGTTGCGATCGCCAGAACCTTATACTTCTTGGCCAAATAAGTAAAATTCAAATGTGGAATATGGTATTCATCTGTGATGATGATTAAGGGTGAATTTTTGTAGCGTTCCATGTTTTTGGGTATGGTAACAGTGCCCTTTTTTATGGATTCAATGTCGGGACTCACACCACTCACATTTACGATGTGCAATGACATGCTCGCTCTTTCTTCATTGTATACGCATATACTTACATAGTTGCGTGAGCGCTGTATAAAACTCTCCGCCCGTGCAATTTGTTCGGAGGTCAAAGTGTTTCGCACACAAAGAAGTATACTCTCCTGCATAGCAAGCTTTGCCCTTGCTATGTCCGAAGGCTCATTGTCCATAGCAACTTTTTAGTTGTGGATGCACTGGAAACTTCTATACACATCAATTTTAAGGAAGACAAGGAGAATCAAAAACCTGCGCTCAATTTTAAGAAGAAGATAAAAGAAATTAGAGCTGCCAACTAGTTTCGTTTCGGTTTCGTACTTGACACTGTGTTGACATAAGAAATGCCGTTATGTTGAGGAATAGGTGTGACCGTAATTTGTCGTGGAAAAATACCAACAAATTTGCGAAATATATTATAATATATATATATATTGTAATGATGAATCCGACTAGAACTTTGAGTTTTAATAATTATAAATTTAATAGGATATGCCTATGGCAGAGAATTCGTTGGTCCCTTTTTTTGCGCAATTTTGAGCACTATGAAAATTATTATTTATTTAGTTATTTCTTTTTTTTCAGCAAACATGGACGAAGAGCAAAAACTCCGACTTTGCTTGAGGTTTCAGTTTACGTAAATGTGTATGTACACATGTATACTGTGCTTGTGTGGGTTCTACAATTTTTGGCCGCTTGAACCGAAATTGGTTTTTATATCCGTACTCAAAAAGATTTAAGGGGTATATTATATTTGTGGTTAAGGTGTGGTAAGGAAACGTTCCCGACCCCATAAAGTATATATATTCATGATCAGCATCAATAGCCGAGTCGATATAGCCATGTCTGTCTGTCTGTCTGTCTGTTCGTCTTGATGAGCGCCTAGATCTCAGAGACTTTAAAAGCTAGAGCAACCAAATTTGGTTTCCAGACTCATTTGATATCACACTGATACAAGTGTATTTCAAAATTTCGCCGCGCCCCCTTTCGCCACCACAAAGGACGAAAATCTGTGGCAGTCACAATTTTAGGGATACAAAAAAAAAGCGTAGTATCGTAGAGAATGACCAAGTCTACCAGATTGCCGAATCTGAATCAGATCGGATCATAATTATATGATATTAATTATTATATTATTATTATATTATATGAAGATATTAATTTTCAGTTACTTCCCCCGCCTCCATTAGCAAGAGGCGCGGTACTCATTCTCTTTCCCGCTCGCACACTCTGCCTCGTTATGTACTCGAGCGCCCTCTAGCGGAGGAGATTTTTTCTTTAAATTTAAAATTCCAAAAAATCATAAGCTTAAAAATAGAATGTATGTATGCGTCGCCAGAAGCGACTTACACGTTCCTTCTCGTTTCGATCTAATTTCTCTAATTTTCTGCCTCCACTTTCCACCGCTCAAATGGCAGAAAACCGTTAAATTCAAATCTGAGCTACCAGGCGAACAGAAAACAGCAGAAGGTCGCTGGTTTTTTTTAATTTCTCGTTTTTTTGTGTTTCTTTTGTATTTCGTTGCTCTCTTTTTTTCTCATTTTCTGCCTCCACTTTCCACCGCTCAAATGGCAGAAATGCGTTAAATTCAAATCTGAGATACCAGTCGAACAGAAATCAGCAGAAGGTCGCTGGTTTTTTTTTAATTTCTCGTTTTTTCTTGTTTCTCTTTGTATTTCGTTGCTCTCTTTTTTTGATGTAGTTTCTCTAATTTTCTGCCTCCACTTTCCACCGCCCAAATGGCAGAAAACCGTTAAATTCAAATCTGAGCTACCAGGCGAAAAGAAATCAGCAGAAGGTCGCTGGTTTTTTTTTAATTTCTCATTTTTTCTTGTTTCTCTTTGTATTTCGTTGCTCTTTTTTTTCAATCTAGTTTCTCTCATTTTCTGCCTCCACTTTCCACCGCTAAAATGGCAGAAAACCGTTAAATTCAAACCGGCCAGAAATCAGCAGAAGGTCGCTGGTTTTTTTTTAATTTCTCGTTTTTTCTTGTTTCTCTTTGTATTTCGTTGCTCTTTTTTTCAATCTAGTTTCTCTCATTTTCTGCCTCCACTTTCCACCGCTCAAATGGCAGAAAACCGTTAAATTCAAATCTGAGCTACCAGGCGAACAGAAATCAGCAGAAGGTCGCTGGTTTTTTTTTAATTTCTCGTTTTTTCGTGTTTCTCTTTGTATTTCGTTGCTCTCTTTTTTCAATCTAGTTTCTCTCATTTTCTGCCTCCACTTTCCACCGCTCAAATGGCAGAAAACCGTTAAATTCAAATCTGAGCTACCAGGCGAACAGAAATCAGCAGAAGGTCGCTGGTTTTTTTTTAATTTCTCGTTTTTTCGTGTTTCTCTTTGTATTTCGTTGCTCTCTTTTTTCAATCTAGTTTCTCTCATTTTCTGCCTCCACTTTCCACCGCTAAAATGGCAGAAAACCGTTAAATTCAAATCTGAGCTACCAGGCGAACAGAAATCAGCAGAAGGTCGCTGGTTTTTTTTAATTTCTCGTTTTTTCGTGTTTCTCTTTGTATTTCGTTGCTCTTTTTTTTCAATCTAGTTTCTCTCATTTTCTGCCTCCACTTTCCACCGCTAAAATGGCAGAAAACCGTTAAATTCAAATCTGAGATACCAGGCGAACAGAAATCAGCAGAAGGTCGCTGGTTTTTTTTTAATTTCTCGTTTTTTTGTGTTTCTCTTTGTATTTCGTTGCTCTTTTTTTTCAATCTAGTTTCTCTCATTTTCTGCCTCCGCTTTCCACCGCTCAAATGGCAGAAACCGTTAAATTCAAATCTGTGCTACCAGGCGAACAGAAAACAGAAGAAGGTCGCTGGTTTTTTTAATTTCTCGTTTTTTCCTGTTTCTCTTTGTATTTCGTTGCTCTATTTTTTCAATTTAGTTTCTCTCATTTTCTGCTTCCACTTTCCACCGCTAAAATGGCAGAAAACCGTTAAATTCAAATCTGAGCTACCAGGCGAACAGAAAACAGCAGAAAGTCGCTGGTTTTTTTAAGATCTCGTTTTTTCGTGTTTCTTTTTGTATTTCGTTGCTCTCTATTTTAATCTAGTTTCTCTCATTTTCTGCCTCCGCTTTCCACCGCTAAAATGGCAGAAACCGTTAAATTCAAATCTGTGCTACCAGGCGAACAGAAATCAGCAGAAGGTCGCTGGTTTTTTTTAATTTCTCGTTTTTTCTTGTTTCTCTTTGTATTTCGTTGCTCTCTTTTTTCAATCTAGTTTCTCTCATTTTCTGCTTCCACTTTCCACCGCTAAAATGGCAGAAAACCGTTAAATTCAAATCTGAGCTACCAGGCGAACAGAAATCAGCAGAAGGTCGCTGGTTTTTTTTTAATTTCTCGTTTTTTCGTGTTTCTTCTTTGTATTTCGTTGCTCTCTTTTTTCAATCTAGTTTCTCTCATTTTCTGCCTCCACTTTCCACCGCTCAAATGGCAGAAAACCGTTAAATTCAAATCTGAGCTACCAGGCGAACAGAAATCAGCAGAAGGTCGCTGGTTTTTTTTTAATTTCTCGTTTTTTCGTGTTTCTCTTTGTATTTCGTTGCTCTTTTTTTCAATCTAGTTTCTCTCATTTTCTGCCTCCACTTTCCACCGCTAAAATGGCAGAAAACCGTTAAATTCAAATCTGAGATACCAGGCGAACAGAAATCAGCAGAAGGTCACTGGTTTTTTAAAATTTCTCGTTTTTTCGTGTTTTTCTTTGCATTTCGTTGCTCTCTTTTTTTCAATCTAGTTTGTCTCATTTTCTGCCTCCACTTTCCACCGCTCAAATGGCAGAAAACCGTTAAATTCAAATCTGAGATACCAGGCGAACAGAAATCAGCAGAAGGTCGCTGGTTTTTTTTTAATTTCTCGTTTTTTCTTGTTTCTCTTTGTATTTCGTTGCTCTCTTTTTTCAATCTAGTTTCTCTTCATTTTCTGCCTCCACTTTCCACCGCTCAAATGGCAGAAAACCGTTAAATTCAAATCTGAGATACCAGGCGAACAGAAATCAGCAGAAGGTCGCTGGTTTTTTTTAATTTCTCGTTTTTTTGTGTTTCTCTTTGTATTTCGTTGCTCTCTTTTTTTCAATCTAGTTTCTCTCATTTTCTGCCTCCACTTTCCACCGCTAAAATGGCAGAAAACCGTTAAATTCAAATCTGAGATACCAGGCGAACAGAAATCAGCAGAAGGTCGCTGGTTTTTTTTTAATTTCTCGTTTTTTCGTGTTTCTCTTTGTATTTCGTTGCTCTCTTTTTTTCAATCTAGTTTCTCTCATTTTCTGCCTCCACTTTCCACCGCTCAAATGGCAGAAACCGTTAAATTCAAATCTGAGATACCAGGCGAACAGAAATCAGCAGCAGGTCGCTGGTTTTTTTTTAATTTCTCGTTTTTTCGTGATTCTCTTTGTATTTCGTTGCTCTCTTTTTTCGATCTAGTTTCTCTCATTTTCTGCCTCCACTTTCCACCGCTCAAATGGCAGAAAATCGTTAAATTCGAAACTGTGATACCAGGCGAACAGAAATCAGCAGATGGTCGCTGGTTTTTTTTAATTTCTCGTTTTTTCGTGTTTCTCTTTGCATTTCGTTGCTCTTTTTTTTCAATCTAGTTTCTCTCATTTTCTGCCTCCACTTTCCACCGCTAAAATGGCAGAAAACCGTTAAATTCAAATCTGAGCTACCAGGCGAACAGAAATCAGCAGAAGGTCGCTGGTTTTTTTTAATTTCTCGTTTTTTCTTGTTTCTCTTTGTATTTCGTTGCTCTCTTTTTTCAATCTAGTTTCTCTCATTTTCTGCCTCCACTTTCCACCGCTAAAATGGCAGAAAACCGTTAAATTAAAATCTGAGATACCAGGCGAACAGAAATCAGCAGAAGGTCGCTGGTTTTTTTTAATTTCTCGTTTTTTCGTGTTTCTCTTTGTATTTCGTTGCTCTCTTTTTTGAATCTAGTTTCTCTCATTTTCTGCTTCCACTTTCCACCGCTCAAATGGCAGAAAACCGTTAAATTCAAATCTGAGATACCAGGCGAACAGAAATCAGCAGAAGGTCGCTGGTTTTTTTTTAATTTCCTCTTTTTTCATTGTTTCTCTTTTCCATTTGTTGCCCTTTCAATTGTCTCATTTTCTGCCTCCGCTTTCCACCGCTAAAATGGCAGAAAACCGTTAAATTCAAATCTGAGATACCAGGCGAACAGAAATCAGCAGAAGGTCGCTGGTTTTTTTTTAATTTCTCGTTTTTTCGTGTTTCTCTTTGTATTTCTGTCCCTTTTTTTTTTAATTTGTTTTCCTTTATTTCGTTGCTCTCTTTTTTCAATCTAGTTTCTCTCATTTTCTGCCTCCGCTTTCCACCGCTCAAATGGCAGAAAACCGTTAAATTCAAATCTGAGATACCAGGCGAACAGAAATCAGCAGAAGGTCGCTGGTTTTTTTTAATTTCTCGTTTTTTCTTGTTTCTCTTTGTATTTCGTTGCTCTTTTTTTTGATCTAGTTTCT